CTATTATAAGAGATTAAAGATGGGACCAGGTTTAAATGTTGCATCTTACCTTGGACTCATAAAAAACCCTAACCATAGATGGGCATTTACTAGAGCACGGCTCGATGTTTTACCCTCAGCAGTACTCTATGGCAGATATACCCGGACCCCCATGCATCAGAGAATCTGCTCCTGTTTGCTAGAACAGGTGGAGTCGGCCTCTCATATAATACTCCATTGTCCTATGTATGATGAAGAGAGACAGCAGTTGCTGATACCCCTTCTCTCACGTTTTAAACCCCTGGCTTATTATCTCACATATGATGAGGAATGTTTGATGAAGTTTTTATTGGCTGATACTTTTGATTCTGTCACACGCAATGTTGCTAAATATTGTTACCTGGTAATCAAAAAGCACAGAATGTATTGTAACTCGAGCCATTAATGATGGAATTGACCAGTTTGGTATTTTAGTAATTAAGGTTGTAAGGATCCTATGTTGTAGACTCTGTGTTGTACTATTTTGTTGTACTACTTTGGTCATTCCTGGTCTTATGATTGTTTTTAATAAACTTGAACTTGGTATCTATCTGGAAACCAATTTCATGCCTTACCTGCAGGCAAGATAAGCAGCTGCACTGCTAAAACATTCCGAATTGGGGTTTGGGCCATGATTTATTTATGTGCGATGCCACAAAAGTCCAATCTTATGTGGAATTGTCAAGATCTGTGTTCCAGGAAGCGGATTCAATGCCATTGGCTTTAGTATTGCAACACTTGCTGATGTCGTCTGAAACTCTGTTCCAGACGGTGAGTTGTCCGTATAGTAACCACAAGTACCTGAGTCTACTTTCCGTTCAGTGGACTCCTGTGTGATCATGGAAGCAACAAGATTTCATGGCCTTTTCTTAATGAGCCGTGTTTCTATTCCCCTCCTCCTAAACATGACCAAACGTGGGAGGCTGTGGATTTGTTTTTTCTGCAGTAAGTCATCATTTAATTCAAAGGGGGGGAAATAAACAGGAGTCAAAAAAATGCCGCAGCTGTGTTTTTGTTAGACATTATATATAAAAAAAGGAACGAAATCATAATATAGTAAATCATTTTGTAGAACATGAAACTTAAAGTGTTTTTTTATACAAATTAATCGTGATAAGTTCCAAATGTCTTGTCACCATGATAATACTGAATGATGGTGTGCCATGTCCGTTATGTCAGAGGCCTTGGAATGGTATAGCCTGTACATGCACATCATCTCCGATCCCAAGATATGTCGCAATACAGTTTAAAACATGTAGTCAAGGAGAGCAGAGGTTTCCCTTTGATCAGCTCGACGCCGGTCATTTTCCCCCCAACAAATCCTCCCAACCCTCAGGTGTTCGGCTCCCTGGCGAAGGCCGTCCTCTGGTAGCTCCTCCTCGTTCGGTGTGTGTGCTGCAGAGATTTCGTCTGCAGAGTCCTCCTTGCACATTAAACATCAGCTTGTCGTAGATCGAACCTCTAGGAAAGACCTTCGTACTTTCCCCAATGCACGTTCAGTAGTGGTATCAAAAAAAGTAGACAAATTCTTCTCAGAAGAAAATCTCTATGGCCTGTGGAATCTGCAGGTTGAAAATGGGAGGAAAGGAGAGCTAGTGAGTGTGGCAGTTCTTCAAAATGAAAAGTGGTGACATTTGAAAACGTCAGCATGATGCGCAAAACCTGCCTTAAATATGTCTCTTATTTCTAGCCAGGGGGTGAGGCAGGCCCGTAGCCAGGATTTTGTGGCTTGTGGGACAGATTGTTTTCTGGTGGGGCTGAGGTTCTCAGTGTGGAAAGAAAAGCCATGTAGCCAACCACTTTAGAAGACAGTCCTCCGCTGCTGCAAGTTAATCGCTTTGATTCCGCGCTCCCCCACATGCAGCTGCTGACGTGACCTTGGATCAGTCACAAGTTCTCTTAGAGCTGTTCTCTCAAGGGCAGTTCTCGAGAGAGCTCTCTCAGCCCCACCTACCTGACAGGGTGTCTGCTGTGGGGAGGGGAAGGGAAAGGAGTTTGTAAGCTGCTCTGAGACGTCGAGGGAAGGGCAGGGTAGAAATCCAATCTCCTCCTTCTCTTCCTCCCCTCTGAAACTGTCTTTTTAAAGAGGGTGCTGGTCTTTCATTGATTGTTAATTCAGAACTGTTTTGTTCTTTGTAAACTGCTTCATGCTTTTGGAGAAGAGGGTACACAGTGTATATATGTGTACATTGTATATATGTGTACTGATATATGTGTACAGTATGTGTGTATATATGTGTACAGTGTATTGATATATGTGTACAGTATATATGTATATATGTGTACAGTGTATATATGTGCACAGTGTATATATGTGTACTGATATATAAAGATTTTTTTTCATTCTGCAGACCTCAGAATTCTTTCTTTTGGGTTGTTTGCAGCTGAATTTTACTGCCCCTGTGAATCTGATCAGAATGTATGAATTGTGTGATGTTTTGGATATTTTAGAAGACGATAAAGAGTAGGTTTTCATACCCTGCTTTTCTCTACCCTCCACAGTCTCAAAGCGGCTGACAGTCGCTTTCCCTTCCTCTCCCCACAACAGGCACCTTGTGAGGTAGGTGGGGCTGAGAGATTTCGGAGAGAACTGTGACTGGCCCAGGGTCACCCAGCAGCCTTCGTGTAGAGGAGGGGTGGGGAATCACACCCAGATTAGAGTCTCTCACTCTTAACCACTACACCACCACTGTTTTAAATGTTAGTTTCTAACATATGGTGTCTTACTGTCAATGTTCCCTCTAAGCTGTGGAGTCTTGTGAGCAGAAATTCTACTTTGTGAGCTCCTGGCATTAAAGTTGTGAATGAGCTATTCGGCTGCTGCAGAAATCAGTTTGCTCTGGAGCCGTCCTTCCTGAGCCAAGACAAAAATGTGTGAGCTGGAGGCTAAAAAACTGTGGGCTAGCTCACATTAACTCAGTTTAGAGGGAACACTGCTTACTGTTCTATGTTTGGTCTGTTTTTGTAGACCTCCTTGAGCCCCTGAGTGAGGGAGAAAGTACAGAATGTAAATGCCTTAGAAAACAGAGTGGGAAAGAAACTACACATAAAGTTATACAGCTGAATGTTTATCTTTTGGTGTTAGTTCTGTGCACGCCTTACATCACACATCCTGCTTTAGCTACAGTATATGCTGAGTTTATGTGCCTGTCCTAACCGTGTTTTGAATCCCATGTGTAAATTCTTTTGTAGGTCTGTGTTGCAATAGCTAAGGACTTCCTAACAGGTTAGAATCTAGCTAGGGGGCGTTGTCCTCAGAAGAGGCAGATGTAGTTCTAGTTGCTGAGGAGAAAAATCCGGGAAACTGACCTTGTTAAATGCTTGCTTGATGCATGCACCTCCATCTCATTACTTTTGTACTCGTTCAGCTCTTTGCGAATCGCTGCCTAGGAAATAAACATGAAAACCAGGTTAATCATCTTCAAATTAGCACAAAAACACTTTTAAAAGGCAAAATAGATCGAACATAGCCTTTCTCGTATCATCATAACAGTCAGTATAGTTTATTATTATGGTCTTAGGACCAACGTACAGAGTAAGCATAATATGTGAGGGAGAGGGGGGGAAGTCATAATATACAAAGATAGAAGTCTGAATTTAGGAAGAAGAAGAAGAGATTGGATTTATACCCCGCCCTTCACTTGGAGTCTCAGAGTGGCTTACAAACTCCTTTCCCTTCCCCTCCCCACAACAGACACCCTGTGAGGTAGGGGGGGATGAGAGAGCTCTTGACAGAAACTGCTCTTTTTCAAGAACAGCTCTTGTCAGAACTACGGCTTGCCCAAGGTCATCCAGCCAGGTGCAAGTGGAGGAGTGGGGAATCAAACCCGGTTCTCCCATATTAGAGTCCGTGCACTTAACCACTACACCAAAGAATTTAAGAACTTTTAAAATGTGATTCCTGCAATCTAAGAATTAATGCACAAAACTCAGCAACTGAATGTGTAATCTCTGCATTCTTATCTGATAGGAGCCAGTGAAGCCTTGCTTTGTTTGTGTTAATGTGCCCAGGTGTCCTATCGACTAATGGGGTAATAATTTTAAGACGAACCTCCCTGTAAAATGGACAGCTGAAGAACATATGCTCTACCAATTCAGTCTCGCTTCAAAGGCATGGGCATAGCCTTTCAGAGTAGGGGTTTTTAATTGTACCTGCCTTGAATGACTGATAACAGTCAGAAGAACCACAGGGTCAACTCTTGCACCCAAGGAGTCCCAAAATCTCAGGGCCAAACTTCATGCAACTGTTTTTAAAGAGTTGGGTCTGGATTCCCTGGACCCAACTCATGTTTTCCACGTCTGCAGAGAACAGCTTCTTCAAACAGGAGAGCCCAAATGAGCTCAGAGTGCTGTTGTGGGGATAAAGGGCTCCTGCCTCTCCCCCAGGCCATTTTCCTGGGCAAAAGCTTGCTTGGGGGAGAGTTTATTTCCCTGATCTTGTTGCTCCACGTGCACAGAATACTTGATGTAGAAGAGCAGCAAAATCAGGGAAATAACTCCACCGAGTGGGGCTGTTACAAGAGAAAATGGCTTCGGTGGGAGGCAGGAGCCCTTCCCCCTCCAGGTGCCGTTCTGAGACCTGGGGGGGTGGGGGAGCCATTACCTGCAGTTGCTGCATGGCTGCAAGCAACACAAACCAGGAAACCCAGACCCAACTCTTTAAAAACAGCAGGGTGCAGTTTGGCTTTCAAACAGAAATGAGCGCATGGTGGGGTTTCCAAGTCTCTCAGCCTTAGTTTATTGAGGCACCCTCTTGCAAATATTTCCAACAGCTTTCTGGCAAAGGCACAGTCAACTAGGACCACACCTATAAATCAAGATAGGGGAGTCTGTGCCTCTTCCAGAGCCGAAAGCTTCTGTTCAGTTCTCTTGATTAAAGGCAAAGGTTCCCTCACTCGAAAGCCAGTTGAATCCGACTCTAGGGTTGCGGTACTCATCTCCGTTTCAAAGCCAAAGAGCCAGCACTGTCCGAAGACGTTTCCGTGGTCATGTGGCCGGCATGACTAAACACCAAGGCACACGGAACGCTGTTACCTTCCCACCGAAGGGGTACCTATTTATCTACTTGCCATTTCTTGCTTTCAAACTGCTAGGTTGGCAGGAGCTGGAACTAGAGACGGGAGCTCACTCCATCATGCGGCACACTCGGGTCTCGAACTGCTGAACTACCGACCTTCCACAGCCTGCAGTTCAGTGTCTTAACCACTTGAGCCACTATTTCAAGAGGTATCCGGACGCACAGCCTGGAGTGTGATCAGATCCCTCCAGGAAGGTAAAACAGACCTTTCCCAAGCAGCCTACAAGGATCTTCTCTTTGCTACCAGTGTGGATAAAGGTGAATTAGCCCATAAACGTATTTCCCGGAGGTGGGCTGCAGGATTCCGGTTAAGTGCCCCAGCTTTCCATTCCGAATGCACCCCAAACACCTAACCTCATTTATAATTTTCCAGATCAGGACAACGATCCTTGCCCTTCTACTTTAAGCAGATGCAATACAGCCCGAGTTCCCTTGGCTACCTATTAGGTGGCCTTATTAAAAATGCAAAGCAGAAATAAGAATTCATGCCATCTGCATGTGGGGAGAAGCAGTGTCACGGGGCAGAAAGCAGCGTTAATTGTGGCAGTTTGCAAAATGAAAAGAAAGGCACATTAGTGTTCCGCCTCCTTCCACTTGAGCTGTGTGCATGCAAATGTCCTCTAGAGTAATTCATTCTCCTGTTTATACATAATCTGGTTTGCTACAGAAGATCTTTTGTTTCATTGCGGGTATGATTTTCCTGAAACGGAATGCCTTCCCCCACCCTTACGAAACCCATTAAAACATAATATAAAATATACAAGAACTGCCGTCAATTAAAGCTGCAAAACAAAACAATAAACCACAGAAGCAATTTAATCAAACACCCTCGTTCCAGAAAAAGATTACTGGATTGTAAAAACCTCGCATCCCTCTCTCTAAGGCTGCAAAGATGAGCATCTGGTGGTACCACGGTGGAGTATCTTCTGGTGCTCATCCCCCCCCCCTATTTTCCTAGCTCGAAAGAAAAACAGTGAGTAAACTAGACCAAAGTTTTGCCCTTGGATTGTTGCTACCATGACAAAGTGGAATGCTGCCCTGGCCCTTTGGATTGCCTGCTCTGGAACAATAGCCATCGTGCCCAGTCCTAAAGACTTCTATACTGGCAATGTAGCTTTGCAAAAACTGGTCCCTTGTACCTTTTTAAGAGCTAGAGCTTCCTGGCAGATGGTTAATGCCCCAATTCAGTCAGGGGCCATAAGGGAGGGGAAGCCGGCCGTTGTGTGCCTCCTACCTGCACAGGAAATCGGAGGGGAAGCCGGCCGTTGTGTGCCTCCTCCTACCTGCACAGGAAATTGCATGTGCAAACGGGATGATGTATGTGTGTATGCCTGATTCTCCAATGAGTGGGGGGAAGCCAGGCTGCACCTGTCTAGCCCCGTCTTTGAATAGCACTGAGCAGATGTTAAGGAAGATGAACTGGGGGAAACTGCATTCAGTCCTCTTCCTTCTCCTTTCTCCCAAACTGGTGATCAGTGTGATTGCTGCTTATTTGGGGTTGTGCATCTACCGCTCCAGCTGCAGTGCACACATGTGATCGGACTGGGGCTCCAGGGCTGGTTTGGTTTTGGGGTTTTTTTCCTGGAAAAGCTTCTTTGTCTCACAACGATCCTGCAGTATTGTCTCGTGGCAAGCTAGTGCTCCCCCTCCCCAAATCATCCTGTACTGAACAGACTAAATCCTGGCCCTGAAATAATTTAATGAGAACCTTTGCCAGAATACTAGCACTTTATGAACTGCTTTTATAATTGTCTTGAAGGAGGAGGAGGAGGAGGAGGAGGAGATTGGATTTATACCCCGTCTCAGAATGGGTTTACAAACTCCTTCCCCTCCCCACAACAGACACCCTGTGAGGTAGGTGGGGCTGAGAGAGCTCTTTCCAGAGCTGTCCTTGAGACAGCACTGACAGAACTATGGCTTGCCCAAGGTCATCCAGCAGCTGCAAGTGGGGGAGTGGGGTTCCCCCAGATTAGAGTCCATGCACTTAACCACTACACCAATTTTATAATTGTTCTGTTTTATCGGGGAGGGCGGGGTACAAATCAAACAAACAAACTAATCAAAAGTATAAAAAATTCCAATCCTATGATGTGGCATTTCTGATCATTTTGTTTATTGTTCATGGATACCTGAATTCTCGTGGGTACCAGGGCTGAGATATACAGCACAGCCTTTAATATGTCTCTTCACTACTCTAGTTTTCAAAGTTTCTGCTGTCAGAGAACCCATTCCATCTTGACTTCCCTGCCCTGGAATGCTGTATACGACATCCCAGGGTGTTACAGAGGACCTTGTTCTAAGGTGCTCCTTGGTTCATTGGCCACTTTAGTGTCCTTCATGAACCAAGAGTCTGCTGTATAACACTTTCAATACTCTTTTTCTTTGTGCCTGAACTTTACTGCCAAGGCTCCATAAATGAGGACAAGCTCTTCCCCCATTAACTGACCTTCTCATTGAAGATCCTCTGATAAATTATGGAACACCAGAGTATTTTACAATACAATTTAAAAGCCAATGTGTTAGAGTGTAAGATATGGCTTTCTTAAAAAAAAAATTGAACTGCAGGCTGTGGAAGGTTGGTAGTTCAGCAGTTTGAGACCCGAGCGTGCCGCATGACAGAGTGAGCTCCCGTCTCTAGTTCCAGCTCCTGCCAACCTAGCAGTTCGAAAGCAAGAAATTGCAAGTAGATAAATAGGTACCACTTCGGTGGGAAGGTAACAGCGTTCCGTGCGCCTTGGTGTTTAGTCATGCCGGCCACATGACCACGGAAACGTCTTCGGACAGTGCTGGCTCTTCGGCTTGGAAACAGAGATGAGCACCGCAACCCTAGAGTCGGACTCGACTGGCTTTCGAGCAAGGGAACTTTTACCTTTTAAAGCTTACAACAGATGAAAGGAAGTACTTCTGATCTTTGCCCAAAGAGTAATTAACATGTGGAATTTGGTGCCACAGGAAGTGGTGGCGGCTCCAAGCTCCAAGAGGGGACTGGATAAACATATGGAGCAGAGGTCCATCAGTGGCTATTAGCCACAAGGTATAGATGGAGGACTCTGTCTGGGGCAGTGATGCTCTGTATTCCTGGTGCTTGGGGGGGCAATAGTGAGAGGGCTTCTGGAGTTCTGGTCCCACTGGTGGACCTCCTGATGGCACCTGGTTTTTTGGCCACTGTGTGACACAGAGTGTTGGACTGGATGGGCCACTGGCCCAACACGGCTTCCCTTAACATTCTTTTTCTTTAATAATTAATTTTATTAAAAGATAAGTCAAGTATACATAAACAAGGTTGCTGTTTAAACATTAATACAAACTGTAAGTGCAGATACATATATCACAATGCCGTCTATTAACTTGTCAGCAGGATCTTCCTCTGACCATATCCTTGTCACTTTCTTGTGATTTCTTATGACAACAAAATGGACGTCTACCTTGTCTGCTGCCGAAAGCCGTGTCCATGGCTTGTCTGCTCTTCTGTCGTAATCCTGTGCTTTTGCCACTTCCACATAATCGCTGAATCGTATTAGGATTTTTCTGTCTCTCAGTTCATCAACTGTGGGTCTTTGATTAAGCTTGAAGGAAAAAGAAAAGTCCATATAAACGCTACAGAGACAACAAAGGGTCACGGACATCCTGAGAACACCCACATTCTGTCTTTGTCAGTCATGCCTATCTGTATTCAGTTACTTCAAACTACATGGAATTCTAACTATTTGAAATCAGTTAAGCCATATGAAGCATCTAGGGCTGAAGCCAAAGCCCTAACATCACTTGCACTGGTGTTAAATGAAGCTACACAACTGTCTGCTCTAGGGCTGTATTAAGATCATAGAGCTGGAAGGGACCTCCAGGGTAATCTATTCCCACCCCCAGCACAATGCAGGAAATTCACAAATCCTCCTCTCCACATCCCCAGTGACC